CTGAGTTGTAATTACTTGTAAACATTCTTAATCTGAGGTTTGCCATCTAAGATAAGAGCGTTCCTGCAATTACAACTCTACAGGATAGATCACTGTAACATAAAACATATGCATTTCCACACATATGCAAGTAGATCAAGATGAATGTAGCTTTTGCCAAGGAAAGATTTGAATGAAATTATTCCTGAGCCAGCATGGAGATCTAAATATCTCAAAAACTGGAGAGTAAAAATGAATATTGCCAAACATAAAACACTGACTTGCTAGAAAGTAAAATAGTAGCACAACTTTCTACTTTCTCTTGTGCAGAAATTCTTAACCTGAGGTCCATGAATAGATTTCAGAGGCCTTGGGAACTTGGATGGGAAAAATATTATTTTTATATGTATTACTGTTATGTTTTTGCTACTGTTTCTTATTTTTTTTAAATACTTTGATAGCTAATCAGTTTTCTTCATAATGCAACCTATATCCATGTATTAAATTGTATGCATTTAAATATATTTTTCTAAGAAAAGTGTCTGGAGGTTTCTCCAGAGTCTAAAAGGGGTCCATGGCATGCCTGCACACACAAATTAGAATCCTACTCTAGGATATCAAATCTCTCTGCCATCTACACCTAACTTCGCTTTGTGGTTTTTTTTCTGGGGTCCAGGATGTACATAAAAAAAATGTACTGGATTTCAGCAACATGTTGTTTTCCAAATTTATATAGATTCAGAGACATTGTTACAAATATTATGCTTGAGACTTACTTTGCTGCACCTTTGAAATTAAAAGATCTGTTTTGAAAAATTAGCAGCATGGACTGGAAACTTGGGGAACATTGGGATAAGTACTTGTAGACACATTGTACTCATGGATACCATGTTGGAGTCCCAGACCACATTTTCAGTCTTCAACCTAATGAAGACTTTTCCAATTTGATGTTTTCTGTTCAGTTTGGATTCTTGTCTCTCATAATTCCCTACTATTGTGACCTTTGCCTTAGGAATATGGGGATTGCAATCTAGCACAATAGAAGGGCATCAGACTGTGGAAGACTAGTTTGGAATGATGCCTAGCTTTACATTTTTTCAAACAGTTTATTTAGCTTTTCTCTATTTTTACCACAGAAATTTTTATCACTAACCAAAATCTCTATGATTTTTTTATAGTGTTGAATTGTAGTGTACAAATGGTGGTAGTTACCCAGATGGATTCTTGTATACTTTGCTAATCCTGCTAGTGGGAGAAAACAATTTTATGTAAGAGTTTAATTAAGTCACCATCATCATCTCATATGGAAAAAATGAAAGCCTGTGAAATCAGTTCTTTTAAAATTAGAGATTTATCAAAACCCCATGTTTTCTTTAAAGCAGCAAATACTGCGAGAGCTAGGCATATCTAGTATGTGATTATTTCTCATTATCATGTAATGCCAAATGTTGATTGCATGATAACTTAATTGAGGGAAAAGGCATTTACTTCATACCTATCTCTTTGCAGAGTTTAAGAAAAATGGCTATTATTACTACTCACCTACAGTACCAGTAAGTATATACACTGCACATGCCATATTTGATGGGATAGCCTCCCTAGAAATTCAAATCCCAAAAAAATATGGTAGCATATTTTCAAATTTAAATGTTTTATTAAAAGGCATAAGCTTTCATGAAGATTTTCTCATTTTAGTCAGATACATTGTTAGTCTGAAAAGTTGCTTATTATTGATTACTATAGAGTAACAAAGCTCTTTTCCTACAGCTAAAATATAATTAAGAATGGCATAGACTAAGTTTTGCAGGGTGGTGGTGGTGGTTAGAAATCAGCATTTTACATTTTTTTAATGTCAGTGTTATTGCATCTAGGGAGGAAGTAAAGCATTACAAAAGTAAATGATCCTTAAAATCTATATAGAATAGGAAGATTTTGCCCCGATTTTTGGAAAATTGTGCTTTTAGGGGTATTGCTGTTATGTCTTTATCCTCCCAAACTGAAAAAAATCTGTTTTTTTTGTCCAGTTTCCCTCATTATGGATACTACAAACAGATAGTAGGGTCCCATATGCATCCAATGACTTACCTGATAAAGATTATCTGGGATGTGCTAGGAAACTCCAGCTTCCAGCTCTAATCATAGCAGTTCTCTGAATTGTTTCACATAGAAATAAATTCAAATAAATAAATAAGGTCTATCCATCAGGAACATGACAGCTGGAACAAGTCTTTTCCCTCATAGTTGATTTGCATGGGAAACCTCTTTTTCCAGGTGATGAAAAAAAATAATCACAGTCTGTCTTCTGGATGTAAAACATAGCATTCCTCTGTACGTAAGAGGAATTGCCTTTGCTTGTTTACGAACAGAAAAAAGGGCAGGATTTGGTTCAAAGGCCAGCAGTTTGGAATGCAATGAATGTATCCCTTTCCAAGGCCCCACTACTTACTTTTGTAGGGTAGGGCAATCCAATACCAATCCAAAGGATAGAAAATAAGTAAGGAACTCTGACTGGCAACATAAAAATTACTGCCTTCAGTTGTCCTTCACAGCATAGATTTAGTTGCATCATTACAAACAATCTAAATATGTCAGTTATTTCTATATATATATATCAGTAAAGTCTGATTTCCATGGATCCTCAATAATAAATCAGCACTCTTTTTATCAATTCAAAATTCATTTAAACTCATATTGTGTTTTCCCCTCCTCTAGGCAAGAAGCTATTCAAAAAAAGTAAGTATGCTTTTTCTATTTGATTGAGAGATTATCTACTCCAGAAATCTTTACTACTGCATTTTCAAATACTTGCATCCATTTTATTCCTGTAGATGTTTTTTAAATTGCAAGTTCAATAGAGTTAGGATTATTCTGCCCCTTTACAAAGTTTACTTAATTTGCACTTTATGTATTAAATACTAAATATTAATATTCAATATTAGTATACAATACAGTGATTTAATGCTACATTAAATACCTTGCTTTTAGAACATATGGTAAAATGTGGGGGGAAAAACACCAGTGAAAGCTCAGGTGATTTTTATGGTGACAAGACTTAGCAGCCATCTAAATGAGATCTGGAATTGTTCTGCCTTTTTTTTTTTTTTTTTGGTGTCCTGATTTTTGTGAGAGATTCTTTATTACTGAAACTTTCAGTCTGGAATAAGTATAGTAGTGAAGAAGCTCTATTGGATACAATAGCATTTATCTCTAAGTAAATATGCACATGATTGCATTGGAAAAGTATTTCATATAAGGACTAGGCTTAATCTAGGTCAAATTCATTGTGTCAGTAAGAATCCCTTTTATGACTTTTAATTGTACTTAATCTTAATTTTGTTGTTTTTTCCTCCCTTTCTATCTGAAAAATGTGAGCTGCAAATTATATGTACTCAAAAGTTTGTATCTGTAGTATGTAAATCTAACAGTTTAGATATTATAGCTAATATTTTGTTTGTATTCATTCACATTTATTTATTAAATTTGTTTGCTGCCCACAAGGCCACATTTCTTGCTATAAGTAAATTGTAAGCTTTTAACCAGTGCTATATTAAATATTGAAAACGTAATGATTGTTACGCATTAAAATAAAATATGTCCCATTATTCCAGTCTGTTCACTATTATATTACATAATTTGGGAAAAGGAGTTGGAGTTCAATGGATAAAAACAGCTCATGCCCTCTTGTTTTATTCTGAAACACCTTTACATTGTGGAAATCTTTTTTCCCAGTGATTATATCTAAATATCCATGTCCACATGTTAAACTCTTCTACAGTGTTGAACAGTCTTCAAATTTACGTGATCAGCTGAGCCATCTGCTGAAATGAAGAGAAGAGTTTGTAAGAGGTAACAAACAGCTGGAAAAGAGTGGAAGAAAATACACAGTGGGGGTTTACGGATATACCTTTCCCTGTTCTACAGATGCACTATAAGACTGAGTCACAAGTCATCTCCCAGATGTAATGCCACAAAGTATGTGCTTTGTTCTATAAGATTCTGATCTGGAAATGTGGACAATTTTTAAATTACAAACGTTACCTTTATAAGAGGGTAGGTACATTGGTGTATTAAATTGCAGTTTCTGTATGTTGATGCCTGTTTCTCTTTAGCAGCACTGATTTATTTAAGAATTAACATCATTCTAAATAATCAAATACATCTTGTTCTGGTTTTGAGTACTTCAAGAGGTGAATCTTTCCTCCTTTCAGACTGTTTGAAAACTCACAAATTTATAGTGTAAATGCTTTTCATAGTATAGAAAACAGATCATAAAAAACATACAGATAATCCTCAACTTATAATTATTCATTTAATAAAAATTTGAAACTACAATAGACTTGGAAAAAGTTACTTAGGACCTGTACTTGCACTTATGACCATCGCACCACCTCGTGGTCACAACTGCAATTCAGGCATTTGGCCACTGGCTTGTATATACAGCCATTTGTAGTATGATGCATTATTATGATTTGCAACCTTTTTGGTTGTTTTTGACCAAAATTGCCCATTGGAAAAGCTGGATTTGCTTAATAACCATGTAATTTGTTTAATGTCTACCATATTTTTTTTTGAAAACTGGGTCTGACTGAACTTATGACCACAACCATTTATGACACACGTTTTGGTCCCAATTTTGGTTGTAAATCGACAACTATCTGTACAGGTCTAGTTGAAATTCCCATATTTATTATTTACATCTATAATATTGGCTTGATTTATACTGGTCATGATGATTTTTTCAACTTTGCCCTTGTGGCTATAAGCTAGTTAAAGCCTAGTATAATGTGGAAACTTAGCCATTCTTTTGAGGAGGATAACGCTCAGGGCATACTACCTCTAATTCAGGAGTAAAATGTCCGCTCATATAACAAAAGTTTTGTCGTATCCTATACAGTGCTGGTAGAGAATTAATCTTTGTGTGATTTCTATATGTGTGTAATTTTTTGATTTAATAATTCCATTTTTGCTAAGAAGCCAGAGTAGTGGAGGAGAGTGGTGCTATTTAACAGTTGCACTTTCTAAGTATTTATTCTTTTCTGTCCTGCAAAATCTATTCATTGACATTCTGAGGACCTCAGAGGGAATATCTAACTTCAAGGAAAGTACATGTTTTCAAGGTTGGACTCTTTGTTTCTTCCAGTCTTATCTTAAATTAATGAGGACACACAGTCTGCTTGAGTAGAAACCTGGGAATTTACTTATATTTGCTTTAAATTCCTAATTTAAGCAAGTTTCCTTTTTAAAAAAGGCTTGTATGCTTTGTTCTGTAACAATGCTTACATTTAGAGTATAATCTTGTACATACTAATAAATATATAAGCATAATGGGATTTATTTTGAAGTAAACATTCATAGAATTCTGTTATTTCCCCTTATTTCTTGTTGCATAATCTGTTATGTGAATATAAAATGTGATGAAAAAAATGTAGTGCATGTATAATTTATTTGCAAAAAAGGGCTAGGTTATATATATTTCCTTATGGCAATACATCTGTTGTCAGGTTTGGCCTTAAGAAACATTTCTACATTTTCACTGCTGCTATGCTTCTTGAATTCACCATGGTGTCATTACGCAGTTCTCTACTTTAATAATCAGTAAGTAATTTTGGAGAGTCTTGGAGATACTCCATGTTTATAATAGTAGGCCATTTTTAAAAGCAACTAAAAGCAGAGCTACAGTTATAATATGCATTCAAAATATATTCATTATGTCAGCTCATTAACTATTAATGTTCTTCATAATCCCCCTTTAAAAAGTACTCCTGATTTCCTTACAAAATTGCAAACTTTTTGTTTATATACAGAAATTACACCACAACAAATTGTTTCATTATAATATTAAAATTATATTATTTGATTATTATCTTATTGGTAATGCTGGTTTTCATAAACAGTAATAATTGGAGTAACTGACATGTCATTTTTAATAATATTCTATGCATGTTTAATTTTTGGTAGATATTGTAAATTAAAGTTTAAATAAAATATTCAAAATAAAATGTAATTATATAAAATACATCTATTATACAAGTATCTACATGATACTTCATTAAACTAAATGGAATGTGGATAGGTAGATGTAGAATGTATAAAATGTATATATGATTCAATAGGAAGCACTTAAACTTTGTGCAAAAGCTAAGTTAATAAGGAATATTTGTGCAAGGGGGAGGAAATTCACATTGTATTTTGGTATTAGTTTTAATTCTGCTACGGTATTAACATGCAATTTTATTGTTTGATTTATTATATTGATTTAATTTGTATTAGAATAGATAAAAGACTGCTGAGTGTTTGATTTAAGCAATGGGAGTGGTGAAGACTGCTATATAATCAGTAAGCTGATTATATAGCAGTAAGCTGATAGGGGAGTAAGCTGATCAGGGGAGAAAGCTGATAGGGGAAAAAAAATACGTAACTGGAGTAGTCATATATTCCAGATAGGGGATAGTTTTTGAAAAAGATTTTTTTATGACTTTTTGCTTAGATCTACACATTTTACTAAGCTGTCATATGATTGATTTGGGCTTACCATGATATGTAAATCCTGCTTATAAATCATAGTTTATGGCTTAGTATATTATGTACATCTAAACATTTGTGGTATATTTTTATGCAAATAACCTTTTTTCTTCATCCCTCACAATAACTTTTAGAACACCATATTAGCAATCAGAAAGCAAATAACATAGATTGATCATCATAACCAACTTTCTCCCTAATTATCTTATAGTACCTTTTAAGACAGATGGGATTCAGCAGGAATATATTGCAGGCTGTTACAGCTTGCCATGTGTTTGTTTTATAAAATTATGACAAAAGCCGAAGTTTGAAGAAGTATATTAAATTGTATGAAGAAGCTGAGGAATAAGAACAAAATAGTTTCCAGCCTGCAATATGTCTACTGAACTTCATAGATACTCTCCAAAGTGATTTAGATCTTCACTGTTTTTGGTTTGTGTCAATCCATTGCTGGCATATTGGTGCTGTATTCTCATGGTGAAATGGGTGGTTTCCCACTGGGAAGAACTCTTTCCATATATGACCTCCCAACTCTAGCTATCCTCCATCTCTGCTAAACTCAAGGGTTCCTTGCCTTCATCTCAGCCTGTTTTTAAAACTGAACTGAAGAATGGCCCAATAGCTTCTCCTCTCACTGACAGGCCTTTTCTCCCCCTTGCTATGAAAACACACACATTGAGGAAATGATGAGGATAGATCTGCTACCCACTTATTTGTGGGTAAATCTATGTGTAAACCTATATGGAATGTATAAATTT